AGAGGCAGGGGGGGTTTCTTCCATTGTCTGGGGGGGCGACCCCTGTCCGGATACCCCGGGAAAGCGCCGAGCAGGAATCCCACGGGGTCCCGCGGACTCTGGGAGTTTGGGGTATCAGTAGGGTGCAGCACCAGCAGGCTGTTTCCCTTATTTAAGAGGGGAGAGGAGGACGGGTAGGGTGGGGCAGGCGAGATGCCCGCACTGACCTGTTGGCAAACAGCAAAGATGCTCTCTGGAGGGCCAAACCTCCCCCCACCCATACCAGGGACCAGCAACGCAGGGATCTCCCTGGTCAGGCTCCCGCCTGGACCCAACCCCAGGCACCCCAGATAGGAGACAGGAGACTGGGTTGTGTCCTTCCCGTTTTGCTCCTGCAGCAGGGGACTGTAGGTGCTCGGAGAGCCCCTTGGATGGACGCGCTGTTTATTAATAATCATACAAAAGTTTTCCAAGAGGCTGAGAGCTAATGCCCCGAGCTCATGGGATCTGCAGAGAGCAGAGGCTCCCCAGACATGCCGGTGAGCAAAGCCAGTTCCCCTTTAGGCTCGCTGTCAGCACTGCAACGGGATTTTCCTAGTAAGACCCCTCTGCAGAGAATCCAGAACGACATTTGAGTCCCATCTTTGCCCCCTTCTCAAACATTTCCTTCTCTCACAGCCAGCTGACGGCTGAGCCCATTCCCCCACAGCCCCCCGCTCCGTGTAGCTGACTGGGGCGGTCTGGAGGTGCAACAGCCCCATGGCTGGGGACACCAAACCCACCTGGGCTGGGTTTGAAGCCCGCACATGGCAGAGGTCTGGGGGATGCAAAATTCCCCTTTTCCCCATCCCATGAGCTTCGGCACGGGGCTTGGCTGGCAGCCGTGCATGGCCAGCTCCTTGCCTGGCACCCAGGTCAATGCCATGGCCCCATCCGCAAGCACAGCTGGGTGCCCCCCTGCCTGCGAGCACAGGGAGGGTGGCCGGGTGCCCACGGCTGGCGCCGAGGGACTTGTGGCAATGCCATAGGAGACTCACCCAGGGTGGCCCATTGCTTTTGGTGTCCCTGTGGGCAGTCATGGGGCTCGCAGCAGGGCTGGGGATGAGGGGCAGCGAGGTGAGGCAGTGGGGACCATGTGGCCAGGCTCTGGTCTCGACTCAAACTTTCCCAGTAGAAGTTTCTGGTCCAGTTTTTTTTTCCCAGGGAGAGTTGTGGCCCGGTGGTGAGGGGTTTCCCCCCGTTGTGCCAGCAGGGCAGGACTGAGCTAGCTCCTAGGGTGAACCCTGGCTCCTTGGGAGCCTTTACGTGCTTGGCCATGACACGTGCCCCGGCATGTCCCAGCTAAACCCACCACCCGCTCCCTCAGCCAGAGCTTCCCTGGGATGCTTAAAGTGAGGTCTGGACTTCTGGTGCATGTGCCTGGGGATGGCAGTGTAATTTGGGAGAGCTACCGTCCCCTCCAGCAGCACCGGTTGGAGCAGCGCATTTGCCTGCATCCCCGTGCCACGGCTCCCGTGGCCGAGCTGCCTCCCCCCCCGGCCGCCAACCCCGCCCCC